CTGCTGAAAATGGCATATGCAGACAAGATGAGCAGAGGTGAGCTACACTTTGGTAGTGTCGTTTTGTCGACCTCTTTTTCATAAACTAAAGCCTTACCATTCAACTGGGACATTTGACTTAGAAAAACTAGGAAATTGACCAAAAAGATGTTTATGAGTATTATTGGCACTTGAACAAAAGTGAACTAGAACCAAACTTGCATACTTGGGCCGGAGTTGCATCACCGGAAGTCAATCATGCATGAAATCTGGCAACTGCAAATGTGTCAAATGCCACTTTTTCCATAAACAAGTCTGTGGGTGTTTTATACTACTTCTTTGCCTCGATAAAAGTAGTCCGTTACCGTTTGCCAAAAAATAGTATAAAACAGCTACATTTGCCTTTGTGCATATAATGCTAGTGATATTAACACACGCTGAGCTTATTCATATAGACGCGGAGTCTGTGGCCTATTTGCATCGTCATCAACTGTCCCCCTTATTATCATCATAGCAAATTTAAGTGGTTCCATTTCCGTTATTTTCATTTTATCCACCATTTTTGCTTAATACTCCTTGAAAAAACCTGTCCTCAAAATTTAGTTTTGGCAAGTTTGGGCAGCTGTCGAGACTCGAATCCAAGACTGTCTATGAGGATTCAAGACTTTTCGAAATGTTCAGCTGTCCAGGACGAAGTGACTAGAGAGCTTGAAGCAAACTGGACCGTAGACGCCGTCCAGCCGGTTCAGCTCTCGTTTTCAGTCCGAGTGGGAATCGGGTCTCGAGCCGTGGACTCACGAGCTCAGGGTCCCCCGACCCAGTCTCGGCCTCGGCTTCTCGCGACTGGGCATCAGTCCTTGCCGACGGTTTGTGAACCTCGAGGGTTTTAGAAAGGTCTCTCATGGAATTTGCATTCTTTCCCATTTGCAGCCGTCAACATCTACGCTCTCGCCGCGAACTCCGCCTTCTCGGCGGTCGTACTGACCTGCCTCAACAGTCGCATGGGCCCCGAAAGTCCGCCCGTCTCCGTCTCGACGCGACCAAGCGACCCGGCCACGGGTAAGTCGGCCCAGTCTTTGATACCTCCCTGGCACTCGCAACCTCACAGTCGCCCATCCCGACCTCGTTTGCCTACCGCCACTCCCAACTTTGTTTTCCCATTTCAGCCCCTTTTCACTCGAAATTTTTGATGGGAATACGAGACTGGGGCACGAATGCCTTCAAGCGGCTGAAATGTTTAGCCGGATAGATAGACGGATAGATGGATAGAAAGGGAAAAAGAAAGAAAGCTACATAGATAGAAAAAGAGAAAGAGAGAGAGACTAGGCCAAAAAGATAGAAATAAAGATATATTGTTAAAGTTAAAGAGATAGATAAGTATGTAGAGAGAAAGGTGAAAATAAGGAATAAAGACGGACAAATAGATGTAGAAGTGGTTTGAAATTTCGATAGAAAGATAGTCAGATAAAGTTATGATATATATAATTATA